TTTGCCCTTCAAAAAATTTTGTAAGGACAAAAACAAGTGATAGTCGGAGAGTTCTAAGTCCGGGGAATATGGTGGCTGCAACAGAATTTCCCAGCCTAGTTCTGCAATTTTTTGACGAGTCCCCAAAGCAGCATGTGGTCTGGCATTATCAAGATACAGTATGATATCCTTCCTATTGAACATTGCTCGCCTCTTTTTTTGGACTGCTGTCTTTAAGTTATCCAGTGTCTGACACTACTCCAAATTGAGCTTTTTGTTGGATTTTAAAAGCTCATAATCTGTTGGTCCTTAATTGTCCCATCATATACACAATGTTCTGTTATTCAGAGTCAAATTTGGTTTAGAGGTGGAAGGGCTAGGTTTTCCTGGTTCACAATATGCCCTTTTCCATATGATGTTTTTGTAGATAATCCACTTTTCATCCCCGTTAGCATCCAGTTCAAGAATGGCTCGATTTTGTTCCCAAGCAAGCAGAGATGTGCATATGATGACTTGATCATCCAAATTCTTCTGATTGAATTCATGCAGCACCCATCTTGAATATTTCGACACCAATTCGATCTTCCAAATATGGTCCAAAATGGTTTGCTGAACTGAATTAAGCCTTTCTGCGATCTCTGTTGTCAGAAAAGGATCTAGCTCCAACATGGTCTTAACAACATCGTTGCGGTCAAAAATCCTCGTCCAGAACATGGCTTATCAGAAAGGTCGAATTCACCTGTTTCAAAATTTTCGAACCATCTTCTGCATGTCCTGTCAGAAACTGTACTTTCACAAAACACTTTCAATAAATTTCTACATGTTTATTCATATAAAATACAGTGGTGTAAATGAACTTTATCAATAGCCATGGTACACAATCCCTTCACACTTAAGACTAATGTGAATCAGCTTTGGTTTAGTTAATTTGCTATGTCAGTATCCATACAATAAGCAATAAAAATAGAGAACGAATCATGTGCCAAATAAGCATGTGCTTACCTGTCGAAAATTGTTGTCATAGAAACGGATAGAACTTTCCAGTAGACCAAATATATTTGTTAGTTTATATATATATATAGCCACATATATTTATTGATTATGTATAGTTATATATATTTGTTAGTTTATATAAATAGCCATATATATTTATTAGTTACATATAGCTATATATATTTTGGTGTATATATATGGCCACATATATATTTTGTTGTTGGTAGCTGTATGTATACTGCTGAGCTTATGCCCTAAGCCCCATCTATATATATGTATACACTTAGCAATATTTGTATTAAACATATATATGTGCATCTTGAAAGCATTCAAAACATTAATATATGTTGGAAAGGGAAGAATCTTGCCAATAATTGATAGGAATGTTTTTAAATTATGAATATAATGAAGATAAACCTGTTTTTCATGGTATTTTCAAAGTGGTTCAAATCTATTGGATTTTTGCAGGGATAACAATATTCTCTTATCAGTATTATTTTACATCATATGTATGATAATTAAAATGTGTTTTCAGTATCCTATAGTAACTCAACTACAGAATTTCTAACACTTTTGCTGTTCTTGTGAGGTTGTGTTGATAGTTAGTGCACTGACATAGAAAGTAGATTGTACCCATATGCTGACTCACTTATAAGAAATATGATTTAAAAGAAGTAATAAAAGATTTATATATGTATTACACTTATTGCTAAGCCTTTAATTAGTGAATTTTATGACTATGTGCCAGCACACAATTGGCACTAGTGGTAAAATTTTTTCTCCAAAGTCACATTGCATGCTGGTGTGTGGCACTTAAAAATGAATCCCAGTAAGAAAAATAAGTAACAATATGCATTTTTTTTTTGTATGATCTATATTACAAACAAATATGTACACGGAAAATAAATATAAGGTTGTTACTATGATATTATTGCAAATTATATGTTTCAGAATGTTATTCATGTATATTCTTTACATAAGATGAAACTTTGCTTGAACTTGAAACCATTCATTTGCAACTAGTTTCTAACCTTCACTCAACTCTAATGCCAGCATACATGCTCATAAGCAGTGAAGTTTCACTTTGAAAATAAAATATTAAAACACCAAAAGCGAGACTGACGCCTGTGAAATCACCATGTGCCAGTGTGTAGTCGGCAGCAAATGTGCTAACTGTATGTCTTCCATGCATCAGCTTTTGTATTCAAAATAAAACTGAATCATAACAATGGAATTTTATAGTTACAGATTGTAGCTATTCACGTTTTAAAATTTGATACAAATGGAAATGTACATTTTTGAATATTTTGATATTTTTCAATTTATATCATTTTATATTTAAAAAAAATTCAGAAATAAATGTTAAACATTTAATTTCTTTTTGAGATAATTCTATTCAGCTGTAAAGGTATAGTTTTATAAATTAACAATAGTAGATATTATTTTTTTAAAAAGCAGAATGTTTATGTATTTTTAATCGTTTCCCTTTTTAAAAAAAATTCTATATTAAATATATATTTGTGCCTGTCTTTTGTGGTGCAGTTTGATACATCAAGCTGTTTTTGCAGTATTTATATTTTTGACAAGATTTTTAATTTGGGACTTGTGATTACTGGCATTCATTTGCTTAAAAACTACATATACAAATGCATAAATTATTTATATCACATTAGGTACAACTTGCACAAAGAAAACTAGGGCGCTTCTGTATCTCCCATTATACTGGAGAAATTGTCGAAATTTAACTTGCATTCTGCATGTCTCGAAAACGCAGCTTAGGATATATATACAGTCAAAAGTCTTTAATCCGGACTCGTCGGGACTTCGGCGATTCCGGATTATCGGTTTTTCCAGATTATAGATCATCAGTTTACCTCTGGTAAGATGGCATGCAGAAATTATAAAATTAAAAATATGAAACTGTAATTTATGAAATAAAGAGCAATTATGATCTAAAGGGTATCAAAATTTACAAAAAAAGCTTAATATTTATTTGTTTACTTTATTAAACATTTCTTTCAATGTGCGCATGCGTAAAGCATACATTACACATAGTTGAAATTAGAAAATTGCAATCAGAAAACTTTTTGTTGTGTATTCGTGATATTTATAATGACGAGGAATTTGATTTAAATTATATCGGAGTACATCGAGATGAAACACTACATTTAGTGATGAATTACTAGCCGAATAAAATAAAAACATCTGCCCTGAAGACAAGGATAGACTTCCAGTTCATTGCACGTCGCGACGTTCCCCCCCCCCCCCTTCCACAGAGCAGCGTGAAATTGATAAACAGATTTCGGAATGGTTAGAGAAACAAATCACCTCTCTGTCACTTTCTTCATGCCTTTATCCATTTTTTGCAGCAGTTCCACTTTTTGTTTAATGGACATCGAAACATGCTTTCGCTTTGCAGATCCTTCGGCAGCTCCAGCATCAGAAATTCTATTTGACATAATCGAAAGTTCAAGCTTACTTTTATAAAATTGCTCTAAATGTCTGCAAAAAATAATAAGCCGGATCCAATTCGAAGATTATGGAACAACGCAATCTGCAACATTAACTGAAATAGATAATTAGATAGCTTAGCTTATACCGTCCGTTATACATTAAATGCGCATGCGTAAACGTATTATGCGCATGTGTAAAGGTATTTCGCGCATGCGTGAACGCATTATGCGTTAACGCATGCGCAGAAAGTTGATAGCTTTGAGGTCCGGATTATAGATCATTCCAGATTATGGGTGGCCGGATTAATGACTTTTCACTGTTTAAGTATATATAAGATTTATATATAACATTGTTCTAAGATAGGTGTTTGATCGAAAATCAGACTTTCTCTGAAATAACATACCAAATTTTTCCCGGTTTTCTAATGAAATTATCAACTTTGTTTTTCATACTCAAGCTAAGGAGTTTTTTTAATGTTAAGTAAAGAGTTGCAACTTCTAATTCTTTTATTTGTGCCAGAAGTTACAATTCTCAGTGCCTTGTTAACATGTTTAAATGCATGTGCATAAAAAAATCCTGTCTTCCTATTTCCTATGTAATGGGAATTCTGTCTGTAGGCTTTTCCATTATTTTCCCAGAAATATTACAAAACATAACTATGTTTTTTCTTATATGGATGATTCTTTGAAAATATTTTTATTATTTTTTAATGAATAAAAGAGATAAAATTACATTAAAAAATACATTCTGAAAAGTTATGCTTAATTCCTGCATGCATTTGATTTTAAAATGTATGTATCTTCTACTTATATTTTTAATCGTTAGTTGGTAGTTTTTTTTTTTTTTTTTTTTTTTTTTTTTTTTTTTTAAATAGTAGGAGACATGAAAAATATGCAATGTGCTAACAGGGACTCGAACCCTGGACTTCTCGAATGGGCACTGAGTGTGCTATTGTGTTGCACCATGAAGGCATGCAGAAAGGGGGAGAAAATACCTTATATACACTCCCTCTTTGAGAGGGTGATTAGGGATTAGGAGACCCAATCGCCAAATCCTGGTGGTGAAGAATCATCATCCACCACCTTTTAGTTCGAGTGCCACTGTAGAGGCATTAGGTTATTTGGACATGAAAAATGTACAGTGCGGCCATAGAGACTCGAACTTGGACCTCTCGAATACACGCTGAGTGTGCTATCATTACAGCACAAAGGCAAGCAGAAAGGAGGGAGATAATATCTTATAAGCTTATTATAAGTTGAAAAAGATAATACCTTATAAGTTGATTTGCAAATTGGAAAGTTAAACATTTATAATTTCAGAGGTTGGATGAGATTCCAAATCAGATAAATTTTCTTGCATTTCTTTTGACTCAATTAAATGATGCACTTAATATAGAAAGCATAATAAATGTTATCAGTTTATTATGACTATTTCTTTGCTAGTTTGCATGCAAGAATATATTTTCTGATGTGCAATTTGTTAAAAGATAATTTTTAAAGCTATTAACGATTTCAGAATTTTCTTGTCTGTAGTCATTTATCAATAATATATATATATATGATTACTCATTTCAGATTACTTCTACCCAATTCTCCAATTTTGAAGAGACTGGGGGAAAACTTAGGATTTGAAATTGCCATTGGTCTTAATGGCAGAATATGGTTGAAATCTACTACTATTGAAAAAACATTAATTTTAGTACAAGCTATTACTGTTCTCGAATATGCAACTTCCCAAGAAATTGAAAAGATGTGTGAACAAATGACATCAATGAGTGTAACATAATTTTGATTGCTATAATATATGTGATGTAAATATAGTTTTATTAATAAAGTTGTTTTTTTATAGTTTTGATGTTTTGAATATTATTTTAATGCTATTTAGTTAAAAAATTTGTTTTAATGTTTGCATTTAAAGAGGATACATAAATTATAGTGTTTTAAACACTATAATTTAGGTATCCTCTTTAAATTCTTTTAAAATAAATAAATAAATTAACTTAATTTTCTTATCCTTTTTTAGTCTTAGGAATGTTTGTAGAAAACTTTCATGGCATTCTAAGATTATTCAAGAAAGTAATTTTTATATTGGATAAAAAGTGTTAAATATGATACTGAAGAGTAAGTAGTACAAAGACCATTTCTTTTAGATTTTTAATATTTTATTTTAAGGAATTATACTTTATAAATACAAAATATGTTCACACATGTGGGAAAGTTTACATACCTAGTTTGAAATGATTGTAAAATTCAGCTGATTAATTGGTTGGATGACCAAGGATGTTTATTAAAGCGATTTCTTAACAAGAGATAGAAATGTGTTTATCGAGAACTTTTTTGAAAGAAAGTGAGCACATATTTTGATTATACTCAGTATAACAAACAAATAATGAGACTGAATTTATAAAAAAAAAAAAAAAAGGACTAAGACATTATTTGTTTTTACTTGTGGTGATGGCGATAAGGAGCGCGCCTTGCGCCCTCCGATAAGTGTGGCAACCCTAGAGGAGAAATTTCTTACGAGTAGCGAGCAGAGCGAAACAGGCAGGCTGTCGGGGAGTATGCGCGAATGTTCCTAAATAAAGTTATTTTTATTTTTATTGTGCACTATGTCTTGTTAATATTTATATTAATGCAGTAAGAACATAATCTGTGATATGGAATTTGAGGATTGGTGGTAAAAACATAACAGGAAAACAACCATAATAGGTAATCACCATAATGGGACTTGAACTGTGCTAAATCAGGCCGTATGAACAGTTCTCAAGCACTTTCGGTTTTGACTACAAGCCATCACTCAAGATCTCCAAACCAGAAGTAATGGATTACATCGGTTTTTCATCCTCCGGAATCACAGATGAGTAGTAATTATAGATCATTTTATAATTCTGTGTTTCCTACTTATCATTTAATTTCATTTTCTTTAGTTAAATTTTTTTTCCTTTTATTTTGGCTTAAAAACCTTGCACAATGTCTGATGTTTATGCCGTCCAAATTCCGGTTTATAACCGATCAGACCCATCTTTATGGTTTATTATGTGTGAAAAGTACCTTTGCTCTTGCCACCCCCAAACCTATCACAGAATCCATTACTAAATATAATTATGTAGTTTGCTCATCTTCCTCCAGATATCGCATCACTAGTACGGGATTTACTTATGAAACCAGACCCTATTGATCCATATGCAAAGCTTAAAACTGAGTTAATAAATCGTTCAGGAGAATCTTCTCAGCAAGAAATTCGCCAATTATTATCTGGAGAAGAATTAGGTTCTCGAAAACCTTCCGATTTGCTTAGAAATATGAAACGTCGAGCAGAATCTTTAAATGTTCCTGATAACTTAATGTTAGAATTATTCCTTCAACGTTTGCCTTCGACTGTTCAGTCTATTTTTGGCAGCGGTTTCCAATTTAACTGTAGATAAAGCTGCAGAAATTGCCGACAGAATTTTAGAAGTAAATCCAACCCCAGGGACTTGTGCCGTTTCTCGCACAGTCGATCAGTCTCTTGAGGATAAATTATTTAAACAAATAGAAAAATTAAACAAACGTATTGATCGCATTTCTCTTTCTCGTGGTCGCTCGCCAAATCGCGGAGATCGCAATAAGGAAAGAAGCAATTCCAAAAAGGAGAGATTATTCTATTTGCTGGTATCATAGACGTTTTGGGAAAAAGTGTAGAGATGACAAATGTACCAAAACCTTGTTCATGGCAGGGAAACGAAACCAGCAAAGAATAGAGGCGACTTATTCTTTGCCTCAAGTTTCACGTCGCCTGTTCGTTCGTGACCAGTAGAACAAACCTTAATTCATTCTTGGTCGATACCGGCTCTGACGTGTCCTTACTTCCAGCAAATAATTCTCAAAAACGGAATTCGTCCCAACAAAACACTTTTCGCTGCTAATTTCTTCTACTATTCATGTTTATGGTCAAAAAACACTTTCTTTGGATTTCAAATTAAGACGACAGTTTACATGGACTTTTCTTATAGCAAATGTTAGTACACCCATTCTTGGAGCAGATTTTCTCCATTTCTTTGAATTGGTGCCTGATCTCAGAAACAAATGTCTCAAAGATTTAAAAACGCATTTTAAAACCGTCGGTTGCGTGAAAAATGCAAGCATTTATTCAGTAAAAACTGTATTTAGTGATACACCATATCACAAAATTTTAAAAGAATTTCCTTCAGTTACTAGATTACCAGATCCTAACCAACCTGTTAAACATAACACCGTTCATTATATCATAACTAAAGGTCCACCTGTTGGTTGCAAAACCTCGTCGGTTAGCTCCAGATCGCTTAAAAATAGCAAAACAAGAATTTCAAACTATGATGCAATTGGGGCATTTGAGACCTTCGAGCAGCAATTATGCATCCCCACTTCACATGGTTCCAAAAAAGGGAAGTCTGGAATGGAGACCTGTAGGAGATTATCGAGCATTGAACGCTCAAACAATAAAAGACAAATACCCTATTCCATGCTTAGCCGATTTTACTGCTGCATTGCACGGTACTAAAATTTTTAGTCATGTTGACCTGATTAAGGCATACCATCAAATACCAATTAACCCAGCCGACATCCACAAAACCGCCATATGCACACCATTCTGTTTATTCGAAAGTACCCGTATGCAATTCGGCTTATGCAATGCATCCGCGACTTTTTAACGTTTTATAGATGAAGTCATGCAGGATTTAGAAGGTGTTTACGCTTTCGTCGATGAGTTGCTCATAGCCTCTAAAGATTCTGAGGAACATTGCAGGCATTTGAAAGCTTTATTTTCCAAACTTCAGGAATATGGACTTTGCATAAATGTTTCAAAATGCACCTTTGGTCAAACATCTATTGATTTCTTAGGTTTTCACCTTAGTGAAAACGGAATTGAACCTCTTCCTGACAAAGTCAAATGTATTTTAGATTTTCCTCAACCTACCACTCTCACTCAGCTTCGCCGATTTTTAGGCATGTTTAACTTTTACAGATGTTTCATACCTAAAGCAGCACATATTCTTTCCCCTTTAATAAAATTGTTAGAAGGCTATATTAATAAAAAGAAATCTCGTTCTCGTGTTCAGGATTCATCCCCACAATTAAATTGGAACGAGAATGCTGAACAAGCCTTTATTGCTGCCAAAAATGCCATTGCTCAGGCTACCCTTTTGAGACACCCTATTCCCGGAGCCCAGCTAAGCATCTGGGTAGATGCCTCAGACGTCGCAATCGGCGGCACACTTATGCAGTTGTCTCAACAAACATGGGAACCTATAGCATTTTTTCTCTATGAAACTCAATAAAAGTCAACAGAAATGGTCCGCGTACGATAGGGAATTATTTTCTATTTATTCTGCAATTAAGAAATTCCGACACATGTTAGAGGGCAGAAATTTTATAATTTATACGGATCAAAAACCGTTAATATACGCTTTTAAACAGAACCCTCATAAATGTTCACCTCGACAATTGCGCCATTTAGATTTTATTTCTCAGTACTCTACTGATATTAGGCATGTGCAAGGTTCAAAAAAACGTTCGTTGCTGACGCTCTTTCAAGAATTCGAAATTGATTCCATAACAAAATCTCCATTTTTTGGATTTTAAAAAAATTTTCGGAAGCTCAACGGCATGATCCGGAGGTACAAGACCTTCTCAAAAACAACACATCATCTTTGAAACTGGAATTTAAACCGTGCCAATATTCTGATGGTAATATTCTTTGTGACATATCAACAGACATTCCTCGTCCATTTGTTCCGAATTCCTTTCGCAGACTCATCTTTAATCATCTGCATAATCTGTCACATCCAGGAATTGCAGCTACTACGAAGCTTATTTGTTCTCGTTATGTATGGCCCGATATGAAACGTCATATCAAAAATTGGGTGAAATCCTGTGAATCTTGCCAAAAATCGAAAATTACTCGGCATACTAAAGCACCACTGGGCACATTCTCTCTTCCTGATGCACGTTTTTCAGAAATCCATATGGATATCGTCGGACCGTTACCTCCATCAGAAGGCAATGTGTACCTTTTGACTCTAATAGATAGATTCTCCTGATGGCCTGAAGCCATTCCCATCCCGGATATGAAAACGGAAACCATTTGCAGAGCCATCTTCAACTGTTGGATATCTCGTTTTGGCTGCCCATCGATCATAACAACAGACCAAGGTTCTCAAATGAGATCCGCAACTTTTTGCAGAATTTCACGCGCATTTTGGGTACGAACAGAATCACAACAACAGCCTATCATTCCAATGTCCAAACGGCATTGTTGAACGATTTCATCGACATTTAAAATCTTCTCTCAAGGCTCACGAGACCAATAACTGGACTGAAACACTACCAGTTGTTATGCTTGGTATTCGGACAGCCGTAAAGGAAGATCTACAGTCATCTTGTGCTGAACTGGTGTACGGCACAACTCTCAAGCTGCCTAGTGATATGATAACGTCATCTAAGATATCTCCGTATGACACACAATTTATCATGAATCTTAGGCATAGAATGCAACAATTGAATCCAATAGCAACATCTGCACATTGCCAAGAAAAATGTTACGTAAGTGCTACCTTAAAGTCGTGTACGCATGTATACTTACGTGTCGATCGAGTAAAGCCCACCTCTGTGCCAACCATACACAGGTCCGCATAAAGTCCTTTCTAGAACGGACAAAACTTTCACAATTGATATTAACGGTCTGAAATCTACTGTGTCTATAGACCGTGTGAAACCAGCTTATTTGCTTTCGGACTCTAATTGCCTGAACTGAAAACAAATAAAGACTTAAAACAGTTCAGCAGAATAAATCTGCAAACGAACTCTCTAAGACACAAACTGTCACCAGA